CAAGAGACAGTGCTATTATATTTATATAGATAACATACAAGAGACAGTGCTATTATATTTATATAGATAACATACAACAGACAGTACTATTTTATTTATATATATAACATACAACAGACAGTTCTATTATATTTAGATATATAACATACAACAGACTACTATTATATAGATAATGTACAACAGACAGTACTATTATATTTATATAGATAACTATTATATTTATGTATTATTCAAGTGTATGCCATTAACAGCCATAAACACATATCAATTCTTGGTATACTATGCCATCAGGGTATTTTCTTTTGTGATTTATCTACAACTGATATTAGAAATGTGTTTAACTGTAATAATATAATGTCTATTTTCCCTATGGGTCCAGATTTCTGGGACACCCCATATATTTTTTAGTTCACAATTTTACGTTGATTTTTAGGTCTTTTGTTTTACTTGCCATATACTACTGTAATACTACTTTTTTACCTCTAAAAATTTTAAAATCATTAATTCTTAACATATCAACAGAATGTAACTGTATCACTTTCACTGACAACGTTTAACGAGAGACTGTAAAATCAAGTACGAAAAATGAGAGATATCTTGGCTTCTTTTATTCTCTGACAAAAATTACAAGTATCAAAGGAAGTTTTAATTCTTACATAAACTAGTTTATATTATGTAAATTTCTTTTCACCAATACAGAAGTTTCATACTTGAATGATGTTATTCTTTCTAATAGAACTCTTCTACATATCTAAGACATACTTTAACGAATGTAGGTTATATAAACGATGTGAAACATGATCCAAAAATATACAAATATATTATGAAATAAAAGGTACACAAAATATCATAAAAAGATCTCAGTACAATTTTCACGATCGTGGTTAATTTTTAATAATAATTCCTACTTAAAATGACAATCCAATTACACATTGTATTTTATTTCTCATGAAGAAATTAGTTTATTTTTTTGTAAGTTGCAAATATTGTCATATTATTTCAAATTTTTTCTCAACCAATATTTTCCACACCCATATAATTTCCTCAGAATTCTACATAATTAAGACCCTCAGACCAATAATAATAATACCTACTTCAGAATACAATACTGAAAAAAATCATATTCAAACAAGGGCATTACTATTTGATGGTAACCTGTTGTATTTATCGTTGAATACAATGACTTAAGTTACCCACAAATATGTTAACTGATCAAGGGTACATTACACTATAACGATATCTGGCAAAGACAAGTAATATGATTTGTGTGCACGTACAACTTTGGAGATAAAAATAATAAGGGCAAAATGTCTTTCGAGGTTTGTGGCCACCCTGTCATATTAGAGCTTGGGGAAGGTTTTGCCAATCTAATACCAATATTATTTTGAAACACATAATGCGTTAAAATGAAGGAACACAAGCTACTGTTTCTTATTTTTACTTCTAATGGATTCTTGGGTTCCATTTGGACAAGTTAATATAGCTACAGTAAATGTCTACTTCTGATGGATTCTTTGGTTACATTTGGACAAGTTAATATAGCTACAGTAAATGTCTACTTCTAATGGATTCATAGGTTCCATTTTGACAAGTTAATATAGCTACAGTAAATGTCTACTTCTAATGGATTCTTGGGTTACATTTTGGCAAGTTAATATAGCTACAGTAAATGTCTACGTCTACTGGATTCTTGGGTTACATTTGGACAAGTTAATATAGCTACAGTAAATGTCTACTTCTAATGGATTCATAGGTTCCATTTTGACAAGTTAATATAGCTACAGTAAATGTCTACTTCTAATGGATTCTTGGGTTATATTTGGACAAGTTAATATAGCTACAGTAAATGTCTACTTCTAATGGATTCTTGGGTTATATTTGGACAAGTTAATATAGCTACAGTAAATGTCTACTTCTGATGGATTATTGGGTTACATTTTGACAAGTTGATATAGCTACAGTAAATGCCTAATTCTAATTGATTCTTGGGTTACATTTTGACAAGTTAATATAGCTACAGTAAATGTCTACTTCCAATGGATTCATGGATTACATTTTGACAAGTTAATATAGCTACAGTAAATGTCTACTTCTAATTGATTCTTGGGTTACATTTTGACAAGTTGATATAGCTACAGTAAATGTCTACTTCTGATGGATTCTTGGGTTACATTTTGACCAGTCACATTAATTTCTATAAGTTAGAATTGCTGTTTGGTAGAAGGAATGAAATAATCATAAGAATCTTATATCAGCAAAATAATTTAAATTATGGTACAATTTATATACAAAAATGTTTAATGACTGTTGTAGCCCCTGTTATCAAGGAAGGACAGTTTTATTCTTGTTTCAAAGCACATGAAAAGGAAGAAACTGAAATGATAAGAAGGTGAAGAATGAATACACACTATACAGTGAAAGACGACAGAACAAAAATACATGCGACAGTTTTATCTCAAACATACTTTGAAATCAGAGCTCAGTTTCGCAGTCATTCCCGTGCTCATGAACGTTTCAAAAACGGTATGAAGTACTTTAATTTCCCGATAACATGTCAAGTAGAAACTATGCCTGCCTATCTGTATGAATATGTATTTAAAAATACTAAAGTCACGAGTGTTGAGAAACAAATTAAGGTTTATTAACCACAGTATATGTATTCTTCTCAAACACAAAACTAAGCATCTTTTATTGAAAATCAAAGTACCATGTCATGTAGTTTTAATTTATATTGTAATATATCACAATGGGTAAAGTGGCCTGAAGTTTTTTTTCTCTTCAAATATTTTTCCCAACCCTGAAAAACAATTTATTTGAAAGTAGTTTTTACTGAAAAGGTTTTGTTAATTACACGAAAACTTAATGAATTATTTAAATTCACAAGACAAAAGTAGAAGAGAAATAATGGTATTTGTCTGGTTAGTTGAGTGGAAATTAGTGTAAATAAAATTAATGATTTTACAGAACTTTCTTCGATAAACAATTACATATAGAATAATTTTTGTATCTAGAAAGATGAGGAATAATTATAAATGATATAAAACGTACAGATAAGGTAAAAAAAAAATATGTATACAAAACAACGAAGTTTAAAAATCAGTTACAACCAGTACCATATTAAAAAAGTAAGTACTAAAACTGTAGTTGTTTTGTTCACAATTCCTAGATGTATTTCGTATGTTAAAGGAACATAAATGAATGAAAAATTTCATGATGGGAACCACGGACAACCAACAGAACACATTTTAAAAACAGTATTTTACCAACTGTGCTGTGAAAATGATGTAAACAAAACACCGACGAATCACTAGCTAATTTTACACTGTTACATATAAGATGAAGCTATAATATTATCTGCCACTCGTCAAGGTTATTATGAGTAACTAACTAGCCTAGCTGAAGAAATATCGCTTAAAAGTTAACAAGAAACTTCTTTCAACATCTGTGATAGTCGTTAAATTCACGTCCTCAGAAACGATACACGATGTCACCTGGCAACAACCATTAACCCAATAACGGGAGAAATTAGCATCACAGTGTTATCCATAAACTTTTAATATGTGGAAATGTCCAATGTCTGTAGACTGTGCTATCTAAAACTGAATACTGTATGGCCCATCAAGGAGTAAGTGGTATAGATAAAATTTGTAAAAAGTAAGAAACGTCAACAGCCTCTTGCAGGTTTCAAAAAATAAAATTTATTACGGAAAATAAGAATAAAGTTAAAATGATAAAGTTATAAAATTTTTATTACATTCATTATTAGCCATTAAATTTGATTGAGGAGATCTTCACACGGAAATATGCCTTGGAAATAATTGATCGAAAAAAAGATTTACTGCAACGATATAAAGAACATTTCTGTACAGCTAAAACCAATTTTACTACTAGTAATGTTGAAAAATAAATATTTTAAATGTTTCTTTTTGTTGTTGGTGTTAGGTTAGTTTGAAAATAATGTCTCATTATACAGGGTGATTCAAAAGTCACACACCACCATGGTGTCTTTAGGACTTTTATTACAATAACTGTTAAAATATGTGAAAGTGGCCAAGGTGTGACATGACATCAATAGTGCATGTTTTGTACAACTACGAAATGGTGTGGACTTTTTTTGTATCACCCTGTATAATCTATATAAAAATAAGTACTAACATAAAAGTTAAAACTAACTTTAATGTATTCACTATAACTAAATCACTTTAACTTTAACACATATACAAATTTCTCCAGTGGCCTACAAGCTCTATGGCATTAATTTCCAACACAAAAACTTGACCAGTAGTAAATATTACAAGTAACATTCTGTAACTGTTTACTGTTATCTTCTCTTAAGGATTTCTTCCTCGACTGAATTACTTAAGGGTCAAAACTTTAATCAGTACAACTGTGAACAATAAAAGAAATTATACGATCCTACTTCATTCAATACACCTTACTTTTACTGACAAATAACTATATAACTTCATGTAAGTATGCTTCTAACGATTAAAAAACAAAACAAAATAATCGTGTTAATAACACGTGCAAAACACTGCTTTTCAAAACCAATGATTCTAAGTTAACACTGATGTATAAAGATAAGGTTCCAGAAAATTCATTGGAAAATCATGAGCTTCTTGATCACTATACGAAAAAATAGTATAAATACTAACATAGATTGTTAAAAAATTAATAACTCTAAGTTAAAAACTGATGCTATATGTACACTTGTTCACTAGCCAGACTGTCAGCAAATGGACGAACAACTGAACTGGTAGCAAAATAAAAGACCAGACCAAAGGCTATGGAAATTGGCAATGCTGGCAGAGCCTTCTTAAATATAGCCAGCAATAGCAAGGTGAGACATAATCCCTGAAATGAAGAAAAACACAATGATTGAAATACTGTTTCAGTAGAAGAAAACACATTTTTATACCTTTATTTTTGTCACAAATTAAAAACTAGTGTTTCACAACATAAAATGACCTATGTCTGATTAATGTTAAATAGTAGTTCACAACATAAAGTAACCTATGTCTGATTAATGTTAAATAGTGTTTCACAACATAAAGTGACCTATGTCTGATTAAGGTTAAATAGTAGTTCACAACATAAAGTGACCAATGTCTGATTAAGGTTAAATAGTAGTTCACAACATAAAGTGACCAATGTCTAATTAAGGTTAATAGTGTTTCACAACATAAAGTGACCTATGTCTGATTAAGGTTAATAGTGTTTCACAACATAAAGTGACCTATGTCTGATTAAGGTTAAATAGTAGTTCACAACATAAAGTGACCTATGTCTGATTAAGGTTAAATAGTAGTTCACAACATAAAGTGACCAATGTCTGATTAAGGTTAAATAGTGGTTCACAACATAAAGTGACCTATGTCTGATTAAAGTTAAATAGTGTTTCACAACACAAAGTGACCAATGTATGATTAAGGTTAAATAGTATTTCACAACCTTGAGTGACCGATGTCTGATTAAGGTTAACTAGTGGTTCACAACCTTGAGTGACCAATGTCTGACTAAGGTTAACTAATGGTTCACAACCTTGAGTGACCAATGTCTGACTAAGGTTAACTAGTGGTTCACACGTTTCTATTTGGTGGATGACTTTCTTCTTAGTCTACAGCTATTGATCAAGTCAAATGTAAAGAAGTATGAGCCAATCAAAACATATCATAATTATAAAACCAATTGAAGTTGTTATAAGAAACACAGTGGAACTAAACCTATTTCTGGTTGATGTTTTACCTTCTCAAAGTTTGTATTATATATAAAATGTTTCTCCACATTGTTTTGTTGTACAAACATATAAAGAAATGTTTCTGTAATGTTGGACGTATATCACCCAAATATTATGTTAGTAAAAACAAAGATTTTTCAATTTTCATTAGTTATAACATCATAAAGTTCATATACATAGCTGAAGTGAAAATCTCAATTTTTACCAAATATACCAGTGTGATCTTGTAATGTTAAATAACACATGAAACTGTTTTAGATTTATATCATAACATACAAAAACAACTGAATTGTGGTGGCATTGATACACATCTTTCTCAATACAAATATCACTTCAAATTGCAGACCATAACAAAAACTGATTTTCTAAGCTATTCAGTATATATATACAGAAACAAAAATATTCAGAAAAACACTTGGAAACATTTTTGTGAATTTTGAGTTAAACCAATATATTTCATCATTTTTTTGAGTGACTACTATCTGTTACTTCTGTACTTGTAGCCCTATTATTGCTTCTTCAACATATACTACATTGTATTGTATTTATCTTTTCATCCTGCTATGTAAAGGTGTGAAGATAAAGAACAGCTACAGAAGGTGACTTTCTGCAGGTGTCAGCACAACAACTGGTCAACCACATGTCTTGGAGTTGTAGCTCGTATTTTGAGTTAATGAGAGTCCTTTTACTCAACATCGAAATAAACTTGTTGCCACCAAACAGACTTGTACTGTTCACTAGTGAACATATTCTAAAACTGATAGTCAACTAAATGTCATGGAATCCACTTATTAGGTCCATTCTGTTTTTACACGAAAAACATTACACACATTTACAAGCACTAGAGAGAGCTTTTAGATCTTGGTTAGTGTGAGAATAAGAAAATACTCTTATACAAAGTCAGTGTCATAAAATTTATCTCATATATTCAAAAGCTTTTAAAACTGTACTTCTCTGTTTGTATATATATATTTCAGATGGTTCTAACTTCTAACTTTAGATCCTTAGAGATGACTACAGAGGCACATCTATGTATACTGAATTACTTCTCTTACTCACAAATGAAGCATTGGACACGTTTTTCTGATGAACTGGGTTTGTAATTCATGTACAGTTTGAGTTACACATATTTATCAGTACTTTGAGTACTCGGTTAACTAATGATACTACAACATTCAGTTGATGGTACTCACAGAACAGATACGTTTAGTACAGTTTCGGTCAAAACAAACTAACTGGGTTTGTAATTCATGCACAGTTTGAGTTACACATATTTATCGGTACTTCGAGTACCCGGTTGACTAATGATACTACAACATTCAGTTGATGGTACTCACAGAGCAGATACGTTTAGTACAGTTTCGGTCAAAACAAACTACAGTACTAATCTGTAAGTGACTGCTATGAATGTGAGTGAAAAAATCTAATGTTAACAAAGATACTTCAGAGAGAAAAAAACAAGGATCATTTGTAACGAGAACTGAGTAAGTACAACTTAGGTTTGAAGTTCACAAAACAAAACAAACTACAATACTAACTTGTAAGTTACTGCTATGAATGTGAGTGAAAAAATCTAATGTTAACAAAGATACTTCAGAGGGAAAAAAACAAGGATCATTTGTAACGAGAACTGAGTAAGTACAGCTTAGGTTTGAAGTTCACAAAACAAAAAAACATTATCCTACAATAATACTCTTATTTCAAATTATAATATGTTACTGATCTAATACCATATTGAGTCATGTAATCAGCTTGACTTCCGTCAGTAAACTGTGTCTCTTCGGACAGGGAGTCATTAATACTATATTATATTAGCTTTTGACCACACTAAAAGTATGATAAATAAATAAAATGTTGAAATAGCTTATTGATCTGGTTATATAACCAGAAACACGTTCTTCTGTTACAACTCGTGTCCAGAGAGTAAACTTTGGAAGTACACGTGTGTAACCAAACTATCTCAGAAAACATTATTCCTTTAAGTTTCATCACAATTTTAGTTTGGAATAAAAAAAAATTGAAAAAACTATTCTGAAGACAGCTGATGTTTACTGGTATCTCCAGAATGTTTTTTCCATTTTTTTATCGTGACAGCTGATGTTTACTGGTATCTCCAGAATGTTTTTTCCAATTTTTTTATCATGACAGCTGATGTTTACTGGTATCTCCAGAATGTTTTTTTCCAATTTTTTTATCGTGACAGCTGATGTTTACTGGTATCTTCAGAATGTTTTTTCCATTTTTTTTATCGTGACAGCTGATGTTTACTGGTATCTTCAGAATGTTTTTTCCATTTTTTT